CCAAAGAATAATCAGTCTGGATTATCTGCCGAAACAGATTCCATAATGAACAGGTTAAAAAGGAATGTGACAAGCTTGATGGCAAACTCAAATATAACGAGCATCTTATTTTCAAACTGACTCCAAATTAATATAATGCATTTGAATTTTATTGTGATTTGTGTTAACTTCCTGTATGACTGTATAACAGCGGGTTTGAATGTGAAGAGATGTAATTTAAGACTGTAGACTTATTTCATTTTCCAGACCTGAAGCATCTGTTCACCAGTGAACTTCTGGATGAGTTTGACGCCATCCGCCTTTGGCTCCATCTGATCCGGACTGCCATTCTCCAAGAAAATGAGGTAAGCACTACGGCCTGCATGATTAGGATGGTGTAGCATCATATTCCGATATTTCCTTTGCGCTTAAACGGACCTGGGGAGTAAACTTAATTTACCAAATATGTTTTTAGAACGTCATTCGTCCTCATATTAGTTTAAGTTAATTCTTGTCATCGAAGACGGTTTACTGTATGGATATGTGCAATTTGTGTGTTTATTTCTTTATAACAGGTGACTGAGAACAAGAGAGGCAAGCGACATCTGTGGATGTTACAGAGAGAGGTTGATTGTGGCTGGACACAGATGTCCAAACTTTTCCTCAGCAATGATCGCCACCCAAGCGTGCGCAACTCACTCATCGAAATCCACAACACCGTCACATCGGCCGCCGCTCACTACAGGCTTTCGCGACTTCTCCCGCCACCCATATTCGTCCAGGGAGAACTTGTCCCCCCGACCCTGCCCCCTAAAGCCGGGAAGCTCAGGCGTTTCATCACCAGTGTCCGTACTAGACTGGCATCTATCGCATTCAAAAACAAAGTGAAACCCACAGACGTTTCTGCTGCCAAATCACATGTCAAAGACACACCTGGCCACAGCTCTGTCTTTGGTCGTGTTGTGCAGTGTATCAGGAACATCGCCAGTAGCAGGAACCAGGTTCTCCCTGTGTGAAAACATCCACATGTATTGTAAAACCTATTGGAATTTCTGTATATTTAATTTGATTTGTTTGAAATTGTACATATTGTCTGACGTTATACATCCCTGTAAATCATGATGTTGTAATTCATTACATGGAAAACATTATACAACTTCTGTAAATCCTGTTTTATTTGTAATTTGAAATTTCTCTAAAGCATTACTTTTTCATCATTCTAATAACCGAAGTCTCATATTGCCAGTTTGGTATATGCAGACATTAAATGGAATGAATGAAACGTGAAGTGGTTTGTTTTCTGTCTTCCTTGGCATACACACAGTCAGATAGCCGTGTATGGAGATTCCGTCCACTATTAAACTATGTCTTGTTCAGAGACTGGCGTCTTATCTGCATGCAATAGAAAAAAATATTTCTGTTCCTATGTGTGTTACATAAACGATTGTTAGTGTGGTCGTATAGCTGCTTCTAAAAGAGGAAAGATATACTGTAGGTGGGATGGTGCCATATATAGTAAGTACCTGAGTGTCTTTGTAGAAGATGCGGAATCGGACGAAGACAAATAACATAAACTTGATAGTTGCTACACGAAGACGAACACTATACGTAAACTGTTCATTTCGTCCATGTCACATGAACGAAACAGTATATGAGTAGGGTTTTACGCCGCTTTCGGCAATATTCCAACTGAAATAACGACAGAGAAAACCCAGAATGGGTTCCACACATTGTACACATGTGGGATATCGAAGAGGAGACTTTGACTTGACGTGTCAATGCTTGTCAATGCTTGTCAACCCACCACAGGAAAAAGGCCTATTCCGATCAAATTGGAAGCATGAATTCACAAAAAAGCGTCACTCGGTAATCATTGTAAATTGAAACCGATGACACCTGGCGTTGCGGTCATAAAATCCTCTCGCCATTTGGACATGTCGTGTTGAATAAACTATGGCATATACACAATATCCCACTGACACTGAAGATTTTAATGACCATATAACTGGCATGAGAAGTAGGTGTGCCAGACAGAAGAGAACAACAGCGGTCGCTAGTAACTCCACAATGCCACCTGCATCATTATGTCCAAGATACAGGCGATATCTCATGTTCTGTCATGTAGTTGTTCTCATTTAAAGTGAAACAGTTTCCATGTCTTTAACACAGGAACATGTATTCAGTAATCCTAAAAAACACTGCCCATAGTATGAAGGAACTGCTAGGGTTTGACCTTATACATGGTTTGATTTAGCAGTACGGGTGTCTTTAATGAATCCAATTACCTCCCGTGGTACTATGACGTCACAATAACGTGACGTCACAATGACATGACGTCATCGACAATCACTCCGACATTGATTCGGTAATGTCAACACGCTCCAGTTTTGCTCAGTGAATATTTGCGAATCTTTCCTTGAAGCAAGTGTTGAAAATGACGTTTTGTGGCCGCGACTGGCTCCGAGGAGCACGAACAGCTCCAGGTTAGTTTCATTTTACAGTTAATGTGATTTTTAAAAACGAGAAAATGATTTCATGTTTGAAAAAGGAATGTTATTTATCGTCTCCCTTCTCCAAACGTTTCGCTGGCAATAATTAATCAGATAAGTCATGTGAGCGCTCATGAAGATATATAATTGATGTCTCAAGGAGAAGAGTTTAGCTTGAAGTTTGTCTCAGTGGATACAATTTTGACAAGTATAAAACGTCCACCCCAAAGAATAATCAGTCTGGATTATCTGCCGAAACAGATTCCATAATGAACAGGTTAAAAAGGAATGTGACAAGCTTGATGGCAAACTCAAATATAACGAGCATCTTATTTTCAAACTGACTCCAAATTAATGTAATACATTTGAATTTTATTGTGATTTGTGTTAACTTCCTGTATGACTGTATAACAGCGGGTTTGAATGTGAAGAGATGTAATTTAAGACTGTAGACTTATTTCATTTTCCAGACCTGCAGCATCTGTTCACCAGTGAACTTCTGGATGAGTTTGACGCCATCCGCCTTTGGCTCCATCTGATCCGGACTGCCATTCTCCACGAAAATGAGGTAAGCACTACGGCCTGCATGATTAGAATGGTTTAGCATCATATTCCGGTATTTCCTTTGCCCCTAAACGGACCTGGGGAGTAAACTTAATTTACCAAATATGTTTTTAGAACGTCATTCGTCCTCATATTAGTTTAAGTTAATTCTTGTCATCGAAGACGGTTTACTGTATGGATATGTGCAATTTGTGTGTTTATTTCTTTATAACAGGTGACTGAGAACAAGAGAGGCAAGCGACATCTGTGGATGTTACAGAGAGAGGTTGATTGTGGCTGGACACAGATGTCCAAACTTTTCCTCAGCAATGATCGCCACCCAAGCGTGCGCAACTCACTCATCGAAATCCACAACGCCGTCACATCGGCCGCCGCTCATTACAGGCTTTCGCGACTTCTCCCACCACCCATCTTCGTCCAGGGAGAACTTGTGCCCCCGACACTGCTCCCTAAAGCCGGGAAGCTCAGGCGTTTCATCACCAGTGTCCGTACTAGACTGGCATCTGTCGCATTCAAAAACAAGGTGAAACCCACAGACGTTTCTGCTGCCAAATCACATGTCAAAGACACACCTGGCCACAACTCTGTCTTTGGTCGTGTTGTGCAGTGTATCAGGAACATCGCCAGCAGCAAGAACCAGGTTCTCCCTGTGTGAAAACATCCACATGTATTGTAAAACCTATTGGAATTTCTGTATATTTAATTTGATTTGTTTGAAATTGTACATATTGTCTGACGTTATACATCCCTGTAAATCATGATGTTGTAATTCATTACATGGAAAACATTATACAACTTCTGTAAATCCTGTTTTAATTGTAATTTGAAATTTCTCTAAAGCATTACTTCACCATTCTTATAACCGAAGTCTTATATTGCCAGTTTGGTATATGCAGACATTAAATGGAATGAATGAAACGTGAAGTGGTTTGTTTTCTGTCTTCCTTGGCATGCACAGAGTCAGATAGCCGTGTATGGAGATTCCGTCCACTATTAAACTATGTCTTGTTCAGAGACTGGCGTCTTATCTGCGTTTGGTACATGTAGTGATCACTGTAAAATCCTCACAGCGTCCAGGAGCACTGCACTGAGTGGTTGTCATGGAAACATCCAATCAAAGAAAAACGCACTTTTCAGGTACCATACTCAATCATAAAATAATACAGTTATCATAGAAACAAACAAGGAAAAAACAGTAAATGATATACGGAATCAAGTTTATGAAAGGCTTTTACACATAAGGAAGAGAATCTGTGGATGTCAACATTTTCACTATGTGTTCAAGATCCTACAAGTCCATGTCATTTTCAGGGACACATTTTAACCGAGGACCGCTATCTGTTTTTCTCCGGTTAAAAAAGGATATAATACCCATATATACTGCATCAGACCAGAGACCTTAAAATAAATTATCCCGGTCTGTGTTAATATGGGAAACATGACGAATACAAGTTTTTGTTTCTTTAAAATTGTTCAATCCCTGCGTCAATATACATCAATAATACATGGTATATACATATGTACTTGAGATGCAACATGTGTGAGTTTCTAGTTAGCACATATAAACCAAAACTTTCTTACGATTTAGAAACAATTGTTTGTGTTAAAATACAAAGTAAAGTCTTAAGGTGTTTTTGTTTGGTGTGCGTGCGTGCGTGCGTGCGTGCGTGCGTGCGTGCGTGCGTGTGTTTGTTAGCACCACATTTCCTTGTAAACAGAGCAGTGCGTCCACTCGATCGTCAACTGTTGTTTGAATTAACGAAGGATCCCGCTGTGTGAAGTAATGAATGGTCCCTTGCGGAGTGATATCATTTTCATGTACATTGTGTGAGATTAATTCAGTATTACATGTATGCACGGCACATAAGCATATCTATTATCAGCGCGTGTTTTTAATTACTAATTGAGAGCTTACGGGCTAAGGATATGGGTACACACCGATGCACTATCTTTCTTACGGAGCAGCAATTACGTCATATGTGATAAGGCTAAAAGCAACATGGCCGTTGTTTTGATCGGCTTTCGGTAAGAGAAGAGCATCACGATAATCACTGCATACAACTCTATTAATGTTCCCATGGTGATTGTACTGGCAAACGCTTTAACATGACATCCAGGTGGTAGATATGCATGTTGATACACTACAGTTTGTAAAAATATGGTAGTTTCACTCGTGAGAAATTAGGAAGAGATTGTCAACTTGCATGTTTCTGTTGCTGAATGGACAGTTTAGGTAACACTATGTACTTGGTGTAGGTAATTACAAAGTGTACTTGTTATCGCACTTGATTTTCCAATGACTTATCAAACAAATCTTTTGTATTAATTGTTTTGTTGCGCTAAAATGTTTTTCAGCAGTTCAACATTAACAAATATAAAATTAGGCCAAATAATGTAGCCCCATTTTTTTCTTCACTAGATCTATCAAAAGAAGATGTGTGTATGTTTAGACTGATTGTGGTTATGACATACAGTCTGCAGTCCTGAAAGGGTTCTTGGGGTCGGGTGGTATAAGGGCTCGTAGTGTTTTAGAGGTTCCGGTGATATTACTTTAGTGTGAATCAACATTTAACTTCACTCGCAGGTCTCTTACTAGAAGCTTCTGAGAATATAAACCTTTGCCCATTCAACATATAGAAATTAGAATTAAATTTGAAAATAGATTTGTGTCATTTGTACATAGGCAGAGTAGACACTGGATAAGTATGTCAACTGTTAAGCAGAGGAGGAAACAAATTACTATAGGGAGCGAGAATAAGTGGATTTTGATACAGGTGTGAACAGAGATAGGAGGGATACTCTCTAATCAGGGATGGAACTTAACCAAAAATGTTTATCTGCCCAGGGGCGGTCGGGTAGCCTAGTGGTTAAAGCGTTCGCTCGTCACGCTGAAGACCCGGGTTCGATTCCCGACATGGGTACAATGTGTGAAGCCCATTTCTGGTGTCCCCCGCCGTGATATTGCTGGAATATTGCTAAAAGCGGCGTAAAACCATACTCACTCACTCACTCTATCTGCCCAGTTACTGATAACATAGAGCAATCATGTCAGTACACCCAAAAATGTTTGAAATTCTTCTAGCCCTAAGCATGCTTTGGATAACATTGACAAGACTGGTATGGACTAACATGCTTGTGCAAATTTCCATCCCTGCCGATAAGGCAATGCCAGGTGTATAACTTTTAAAACTGACAATGGCGTTTTTTCCCCCCACAGATCAACTCCTACCAATGCTATGATGTAAGGTCAGTGTGACATATTAGAGGAAAATCAAAATGTGTGACCATCGTCATCTACGTTCACCAACTCCTGCAGGAATTGTTGACCACGTCGGCTACCTGTCTGACAACCTCGGTGAACTTGTAGAAAATGAAGACTACAGTGACATTACACTGCTCGTTGAAGGTGTGCGCTTCCATGCTCACAAGGTCATTCTGGCTGCTCGATCAGAATACTTCAGGTATGCCATGCAGCTAATCTGTTGTCTTCAGTTGGTTTGCTATCTTTTTGTAGGTGTAATGCTAGTTGTAGCAGGAAATTGTTGGGACCAGGAATGTGACATTTGCTGGCAATTGTGTGTGATGGGTTGGAATAACTTTAGCATGAGGTCGAATTCAAGTATTCTGAACCATCATGAATATGTTCATGATGTTTGGGAATATATTTTGTTGTAAAGAGTGATCACACACTTTCATTAAAATATCCCACAAAATATTCATGACCCATTACTATTTTGTGTAGTATATTTCAACATCACCCAGTGAACATGGGGAATAAGTCCAGTTCTACTTAAACAGCCAATTCTTCCACTAGGCAGATTGGTGGCTGTGTCAAATGTTGGGCATAAACATGATAAACCAGAGAAACATCTCAGAGGGACTAGTAAAAGTACATCATCTAGTAAGAATAGTTGCAGTTTACTAGTTCTTTCATCTCAGTCTGCAACATCATTTATTAAAGAACATTTTGTCAATAGTTTGAGAACTATTATGATTACATAGCATACAGGGTTAGAAATGAACACTAACCTGCTAGCTCGGGGCTAGTACAACTTCCTGCGGGATGGTACAAATTTCAAAATTTTCCCATTGTTTTAACATTACAAGGGCATTTTATCTTTTGAATCTTTTGAGTTTAGTTCTAACACTGGCATACACCATGTACATCAAGTTAATTCTGATTCCATATGTTTTAAGTGGATTCGTTTGACAGTCTTATTTGTTGATGCTACTTTTACCGCTTGTGTCAGATATATGGCTGAGTTTCAGATCAGTTTATTTTCTAAACTGGTTCTTTGTCATTATATCGAAGAATGTCTTGTCAAATGTTGATAAATTCATGAAAATTTCCGTTTGCCAATTGTCTCCAGCAAACTCACTGATAATGTGATGTTTCCAGTTTGGAATTCTTTTCTATGGGCAAACATACCATGCATACATGAGTAACATGACGGATGAATGTGATAGGGAATGTTGAAAGATTGTATTTGACCTTTTAATGAAATGACCTATTCTTTGCCTGATGTGTAATAAGGATGTTTATTTTGATCAGAGCACTGTTGTTTGGTGGGATGAAGGAGTCGCAGCCAGGGACGACGGAGATAGAGCTGCAGGATACACCAAACATAGCCTTTTCAGCACTGCTCAAGTACATGTACACAGGACGCATGAATCTCATCGAAATCAAGGTACAGAAGCTGGACAAGCTGTTACTGAGAGTCATAAGATATAGGTGTGGTGTGGTAGCCTAATGGTCAAAGTGTTTGCTTGTCACACAGAAAGACCTGGGTTAGATCCCCTAAATGGGTATGATGTGTGAAGCCTATTTCTGGCATTCCCTGCCGTGATATTGCGGGAATATCGCCTAAGTTTCACAGACCATACTTACTCCCCTTATCATTTGCTTATAGTATGTAGTTGTTTGTTCATAAATTCTGTAGAACTGCATACGACTGAATTTTCTGGAAAGCAAGATGTTACATATCTGGCATTTTTCTAGAGTTGCTCAGGGACATAATGTTCAGCCCCAAATCTGCAGCAAATGTCAGCCAATATTCCCAAATTTGAAGTTACAAATTTCACTCTTCCTGCTATCATAGTTAATTCCTATAACTAAAGTGATGACTTGATCATGGTGACGTGTATTTCAGTGGTAACAGGACCGATATACATTGATAAAGAGGAAGATGATGTTATGCTTGCTCCTACATTATTGCATTGAATGTAATGTTAACATACCTCTGAATTTGGGGAATATAAATTTGAAGAAAAATGACAATTGTGAAAAAAAGTATATTATTTTCCAAACTTTACTGCCAAGGTCACTTAGTTCAGAATCATAGATAAATTCCTACATGTGGGGACATATATTCACAATTTGGTAACCATGGTAATTCGTTTCAGCTGACAGTGTTTTTGGCAAATGCTGATGTTGTGTCATTAACTTTTGTGTGTGTTCAGTAGTCATGGTAGTTATGTTTCATGATACCCTTGGAGATCCTGGTTAGAATTTGTCTTCAGCAACCCAGGCGACTAACGGGATCAGGTGTTCAGGCTCGCCGACTTGGTTGATGCATGTCATCGTATCCTAATTGTGTGGATCGATGCTTAAGATGTCAATCACTGGATTGTATGGTCCATACTTGATTATTTACAGACCGCTGTCATATTGCTGGAATATTGCTGAGTGCAGTGTTAGACAACAAACAAACAAACAAACTTAGTTTCATGAGAATTTGTGAGAACTTACTACCCTGCTAAAAGTACTTATGCTTGTCAGATTTAGATTCATCAGTGTGGAGAAACACATTTGTTTGCTAAGTAAATCATTTGATCATTGTTGATTAACTTGATTATGTTCCTCACTTTCTTTCCAGGAGGAAAATTTGTTAGATATTCTTGGCCTGGCACACCGGTTTGGATTTGTTGAACTTGAAGGTGCCATCTCAGACTATTTAAAGGCGATTCTCAACAGCCGCAACGTGTGCTTCATCTATGACTTGGCCAACATGTACAACCTAGCGTCCCTCTGTCAAGTATGCAAGGAGTATATTGATAGAAATGCATTTGAGATTCTCCACAGTGAACCCTTTCTAACATTATCCCAGGTATGTATCAACTGATGTGTTATTGCAGCAAATATCACCACATGAAGATGAGACAACCGGTGAAACGGAAAATGATCGTTGTGAATATGTCATTACCTTGCCATGCTTACTGTGTGTTGAGTCACCAGATAATGTGGGCGTGGCTGGTCCAGTATTCGTGCAAGGCACTGCTTAATTATGTGCAGAGTTATGCCCCTTAGACCTGTTAGCGGTGTCAGGATGCAAGGTCTTGGGTTTGAATCCCAGATCCACCTTGATTATGATCCTTGGCACCATAACCGAGCCATGTGAGTTTCAATCGTATCAATTTGGTCTTGACATGCTTAACTCTAAAACTGTAATGCTGATAAACATTTGCATATTAAACAATACATTGGTAGAAATTAACACTAGCCTCCTGGCCCGGGGCTAGTACAAATTCCTGTGGGCTCATTCAAATTTCCCAACTTCCCCATTGTTTTAACACTACAAGGGCATTTTATCCTCACTCAGATTGATAAAGATTTTCAGTTTAGTTCTTGCAAAAAAATTGCATAATCATTTGTTGAAATTGTTAGGTTATTGTTATTCATTAATTCAGAAGGGGGGGGGCACGGGTGGCCCAGTCATCTAAGGCGCCGTGATTCGCTGTGCAGAGTTGCCTCCCTTGGGCATGCCAGAAACCTATGATTGTGGGTTCGAATCCCGGTTTCCCCTGATTATGTTCCTAGGTTTGGCAGCACCATACCCATGCCCGTGGGTTTCACTAAAGTGGTAAACGTCTGAGACCTGCATCACTTCGGGCTTTCCTCCCACATTAAGCTGACACGCCGTGATATAACTGGAATAGTGTTAAAAGCAGCCTTAAACCCAACTCACTCACTCATTAATTCAGATACCTTCGTCCCACCCACATCAACTTTCTTCTTTGGCAACCCATTTGGAATCCATGTGATAAAAGGTCCCCAGTAACCTAAAGCAGCTGGTTGTTAAAGGCAACTTAATGGATTTGGTGGTCAGGCTTAGTGACTTGGTTGATGGCATGTCAGTGTACCCCAAAAGCATGGATAGTTGCTCATAATATCAATCACTGGATTGTCTGTTTAGTGCCGCACTCAGCAATATTCCAGCTATATAACAGTGGTCTGTAAAAAATCAGGACCAGACAATTCAGTGATTGACATCATGAGCATCCATCCATTCAACTCGCATAGGATAATATGCGTTCAACCAAGTCACTGAGCCTGACCACCTGATCCATTAAGTCGGCTCTTACAACAAGCATAGGTTGCTGGGGACATATATTCTTACCCAGAATCCCCACGTGTCCAGATTATAAGGCATGTTTGATTGTTTGTTTCAGTCGTCAGTGAAACAGCTCATCTGCACCGATTCCTTCTGTGCTCTGGAGATCGACATCTTCAAGGCCATCAAGAGCTGGGCGGACCAGAACCAGGGCCAGGATCCCACCCCCATCCTGGACTCTGTCAGGTTCTCTCTGATGACCATGCAGGAACTACTGAACGATGTCCGGCCAACTGGTCTCGTGTCGGCGGATGCCATCCTGGACGCCATCAAGACACAGACGGAGTCCAGGGACATGGAACTCAAGTACAGAGGCTGTCTCAGTAAGTGCCAACTCGGTCTCAAATGAAGTTAGGGGTGGTTGGGTAGTCTAGAGGTTAAAGCGTTCGCTCGTCACACGAAGACACAGGTTCGATTCCCCATATGGGTACAATGTGTGAAGCCCGCCATGATATTGCTGGAATATTGCTAAAAGGGGCGTAAAACCATACTCACTCACTCAACCGAAGTTAGCATGTTGGGTGGCATGTGGAAGTCGGATATATAGCCATTGATTTTGTGGATAATGATCGCACTGCAGATTCTTGCATGGTGTATTATTCGGGTATGGGCAATCACATTCATTGTTTTAATGTTTTAGTGATTTGGTTTTGGCTTGGTGTATGATGGATTGTTTTAAAGAGTTACCATGGTAACCGACATTTTAACTTTTTCAGTCCATGAGGAGAATGTGGCGGCCACTAGGTTTGGGAGTCAAGTGTTGCGGGGGGAGATGAAGGCAGCCTTGTTGGATGGGGACAGTCAGAACTACGACCTGGACCGGGGTTTCTCACGCCACCCCATAGATGAGAATAATGGCCAGGGCGTGGTCATCAAGCTGGGCCAGGCCTTCATCCTCAACACTGCCAAGCTGCTCCTGTGGGACAAGGACATGAGGTGAGTGCCTGTGTTACAAGCTTCACACTGTGTTGGCATCAACCTGGTGTGCTTCAAACTGTGGCTTGAAATAGTCTGCCAAAGCTGACATGGGTAACCTTTTTTCAGAGTCTTTGGTAATATTGGTATCTGTATGTATAAAACAAGAATAACCGATTATCAGAAACAGATTCCATTGGGTGTAAAAGGCAATGGTGAAAATTATATGTATGGATCATTAAAATCAGTGATGAAAGCTGAGCTTTGCAAAAAGGTAAACCGTTTTCGCAATAAAGTCTCACCTGATTGAGAGCATGTTGTGTGTTGCAGGTCGTACTCCTACTACATCGAGGTGTCGATGGATGACAAGGACTACGAGAGAATCATCGATCACACCGGCTTCCTGTGTCGTTCCTGGCAGATCATGCACTTCCCATCCAGAGCTGTCAGGTACTTGCCTTACAGGGTTCTATGTCAACAAAGGTGTCTGTCTCATTCAGAAGTGGTTAATGTGTTTTCAATGTTTTCATTCTTAATTTAAAAAAAATTAAAAATAGGTCCATATTTTTTCCATATACATGTACACGTACATATACAGTGAGAAGCACTGTCGTTGTCACAATATACAATGTCACAGTATTCATACGATAAGCAATGTCACAGTATTCATACGATAAGCAATGTCACAGTATTCATACAATAAGCAATGTCACAGTATACATACGATAAGCAATGTCACAGAGCATTCATACGTTAAGCAATGTCAGAGTATTCATGCGATAAGCAATGTCACAGTATACATACGATAAGCAATGTCGCAGAGTAATCATGCGATAAGCAATGTCACAGAGTATTCATTGATAAGCAATGTCACAGTATTCATACGATAAGCAATGTCACAGAGTATTCATGCGATAAGCAATGTCACAGTATTCATACGATAAGCAATGTCACAGTATTCATACGATAAGCAATGTCACAGAGTATTCATGCGATAAGCAATGTCACAATATTCATTGATAAGCAATGTCACAGAGCAACATTCTTTATTTATTGGTTTCTAATGATTGTGATCGCTTTTAGTAAGACATTTTCTTAACACTCCTTTTTGTATCGACGGATATGATGGTTATCAAACTTGCCTGTGTTCTTCCTTCAGGTACATCCGCATTGTTGGGACCCACAATACAGTAAACCGTGTCTTTCATATAGTGTCTTTTGAGTGTCTGTACACCAGCAAGCCCTTCCAACTCAGCAGAGGACTTGTGGGTAAGTTGGCGCATGCAGCCTATGCATCATTGCATCATTATGATTTTTCATTGGTTGGCTGAATACATCGATATCGCTGAACAAAATGAAGATAAGACTTAAGAAGTGTTACCAAACTGAAAATTAAAAATACAACTAAATTTGAATCTAGTTTCAATTTCACTGCCAATTTGACCAAAATAATTTGTGTTGGCCATGATAAGACTTTTGCAGATTGTTCATGTTTCACTCTGTTGAGGAAATATTATCCCTTAAAATGTAAAAGTCTGAATGTGTCAGAATAACATAGGGTTAGTGCTAACTGTGTAGATATATGTAATAAGTGAATGAGTGAGTGAGTAGGGTTTAACGTCACTTTGAACAGTATGGAATGTCTACTGGCCCTCGATACACATCTTACATAGGGAGAAATCTTTCCTGCTTGTGTGAAGATACCTCAAAACATTTATTGTAAATGGGGGGCATGGGTGGCCCAGTCGTCTAAGGCGCTGTGCAGAGTTGCATCCCTTAGACACGCCAGAAACCTATGATTGTGGGTCCGAATCCCGGTTCGCCCTGATTATGTTTCTAGGTTTGTCAGCACCATACCCGTGCTCATGGGTTTCACGGAAGTTGGAAACGTCTGAGACCTGCATCACTTCGGGCTTTCCTCCCACATTAAGCTGACACGCCGTGATATAACTGGAATACTCTTAAAAGCGGCGTTAAACCCAACTCACTCACCAATTATTGTAAATGGTGGTCTTTGACAAATTGAGTGATTATGTATGTCTTATTGACTCTAGTTGTCCATGTGTGTGTGTTTGTGCTGTTTCAGTTCCCTCAGAGAATGTGGCCACCATAAAACACAGTGCGTGTGTGATCGAGGGAGTGAGTCGGAGTCGGAATGCACTGATCAATGGCGACACCCGGCACTATGACTGGGACTCGGGCTACACCTGTCACCAACTGGGGAGCGGCGCTATCGTCGTACAGCTTGCTCAGCCATACATCATCCAGTCTATGAGGTGAGCTAATAAGGCTGAACCCCTGCTGTCACCGGGCAGTTGGAAGGTTGACACACTGATGTATTAACTGCTGGTGGATCAAGGGTACAGGGATGCGCACCACTCCTTTTTCAGGCACCTTACTCTATATGACCGCAGATAAGCCGACCCCGTAGATAAGCTGAGGTATTAACTTGACCCGTGAAATATGATAGAACATGATATGACCCGTAAATAAGCTGAACCAGGAAGTGAAAGGTAAGGACACACCAAGACGTTGGACTGCATGATTGTACCGGTACTTGCAGATATTCATTGATATAAGATGAAACACATAATTATATTGAAAAAGTCATAATTTCTAATAAAGATTTAACAAACCAGTCATGTTAACTGGGTCCTCGGACAAGTCACTTCATGACTTAGGTATTATGTGCACCCCCTTTTTCACAATTCTGGTTCTACTACTGCTACCCCGAGAGGATAGCTATGGGGAAGATGGTGATTGGGTGGTCAGGCCTTGTCACTGCTGATTGTGTGTTGTAACCTGATGTTGTAGAAGTTGTTCATGCTGTCAACCATTGGTTTTTCTGGCCCAGACTTGATTGTTACAGGCTGCTGTAAAACAAAAAGTCTACTTCTGTTGCAGTGATTCTGAGTACATGTGTTTGTGTTGAGTACAGAAAAGTAATGCTTTGAGAGATTTGCTGTTTAGTTTAATGTTATTTACATGAAGGATACTGAAAAGAATGCTCTAACTGTATGATTTTTCTATTCACATTGGCAAGGTTGATCTTTAATTGATCATTGATTGCTTTTTCAAACGAAGAACGTTGAAATGTAATCCCCTACTCTGCTTGTAAGACGTGTGTTGTGTGTCAGGCTGCTGCTGTGGGACTGTGACGACCGCAGCTACAGCTACTACGTGGAAGTGTCTACAGACCAGCAGAAGTGGCACATGGTGTCTGACAAACGGAGAGAAGCATGCAAGTACGTTCCAGGTCGACATGCGGGCATACTTGCTCCAGTTGGAAGTAACAGACTAACTTGAGCTTAAACTTAAATTGACTGTTATCTGAATGTGTCACATTCATTCTAAGTGCCCTTGAAATTTATTTTTGACTACTTAAAAAATATATTGAAAGAAAAGTTGAAATGTAGGTGAAGAGATTTAAAGTGTACAGATTATATTCCCATAGTTCTCAACACACAGTTGCTGTTGAACTTTCAACACTCAGACTTTCTCATGCCACTGTATCATGTTTTCCCTTTCACTTCAGATCCTGGCAGACCATCACCTTTGAAGCTGAACCAATTGCCTTTGTCAGGATTGTTGGCACTCACAACACCGCAAATGAAGTGTTCCACTGTGTGCACTTTGAATGTCCAGCCGATACTTCTCTCAGCGCTCTCAGCAACTCTGTAGCCAATGTCTCGCTCACTGTGGGTCCCCCGAACAGCCCCCCGAGCCCCAGTGTGTCTAATGCTCCCTCCAGTCAGCCCAGCCCCCAGCGGCTCCAGGGAGCAGAGGGGGGGCAGGGCATCAGCCCAAACAGATCCCAGAGGAGCCCTCGCCGCAGTCCACAGCACCCTGTACATGACATTTACGCTGGACCAGACTACTCACAGCAAGACGCACCCGAAGCTGATCGGATGGATGTGGAACACTGACTGTAGGTTGGGGGGGGGGGGGGGGGGGGGGGAGGGGTGGAGATAATCTTGCTGACTGTAAGGGTGACAGGGAGGAGAGAGGCAGATTCAATGACGAGGGATGAACACGGTTAAGGTGGGTGGTGTTATGGGTTTTTTTTGGGGGGGACGTGATCTGTAAGGGTGACAGGGAGGAGGGTGGCAGATTCAATTATGAGGGATGAACACAGGTGGGGTGGGATTTTTTGGGGGGTAGCAGGATAACCTTGCTGACAGTATGGGTGTCAAGGGGATGGGAGGTAGATTCAGTGACTAGGGGTGAACACGGGTGAGGTGCTGGGTGTATGGTTTGTTTTGGTGGGGAGGTTAGGCTTGCTGACTGTAAAGGTGACAGATTCAATGGACTAGGGGTGAACAGGGTGTTTTGGGGGTGAGGGCTGTGTGGGAGGTGGGGAGGGAAGGAAATAAGGTGGAAAGGAGGGCAATGAATGGTGCTTTTGTGTTGGATAAGAAGACATGGAACAAATACACCATTATTAAAAATATAAGCTCAGTTATTATCAGTTATCAACCATTTTGTAGGTTGTGACAATCATATTGGCTGTAGTGTGTTATAACAAAGTATCACTGACATGTCTTACATAGTTGCAGAGCTTTGTATATATAGTTGTCAGTCAGTGAGGTAATACCTGTTGTATCAGTGATTGCTGTGTAGGGAGAGACTGTGATATGAGAGTGCCAAGTGAGTGGTGAAGAAAACTTCCCAGACTGATTGAGAAGAAAAGGAAGATTTCTCCCAGCATTCTGGATTGTAGAAGATACAGAGGACTCACATGAAACCAGCCTCTCGTGGGGAAGGTAGTTGTTGATAGAGCTTCAAGCCAAGATAATCAGATTTCTTTTCGTGATATTGCTGAATCATGGATGGATCCAAATGATTTTCAAATATGATTTTAAAGTAGCTTCAGATGACAGGAGGCTTGTTGGAGAAGAGTGTTGGATAACAGGGAGGTTGGTTTATGGAAGGTGTTAGAATTCAGTTAGGCTGGTATAAGAAGAGTCTATTGTATGAAGAAGTGTGTTCTATTCTCACAACACCCGATGCATATTTTTATGTTTGTGCCATGCTTTTAATGTTTTGTCACAAGGATCGTCTGATGGGACTGGGGTCCACACATTGTGAGTGATGGACGCTGTGATATGTTAGGTCATACTGATTACGAATAACATTCATACAGTTTCTGTTGTCATTTGAAACACTGCAGCCAGTCATCCATTACATTGTAGCCTGCCTTGAAGGTATGTCACTAAACAAATCAGCCAATTCTGTGAAATGAATCTTTACTTAACTCTGACCTTGTATGGGTGGCGACATTGCTTGTCAAACTACATTTTTTTATACCTTGGTATGGCACAACAGAGTTATGCCCCTTGTTCCAATACCATCTGCATTGTGAAGTTGAAGGGCATGTACTTCAGGTACACCTTGTTAAATTGATGCAAGGTAAATGAGTTTCTGGGCTGACTTAAGTTGAAAAACTTAAAATTGTGGTGTTCCTTGCAGTGATCCTGTAGAAGACGAGGGTGAGTTCCCAGTGTGGTTTCAAACTGGTGCAGATTTTGAAAGCATGACTACAAGTTCCTTATAATATATTGTATTGAATACTGCCACAATCCTTTCTTAAATCTCTAGATTAGAGGTCCATTAATTGAAGTATTATGCACCCTTCTTTGATATTTGAAATATCTGTACTCATATACAATATAGCAAAGCACAGCCAAGAATTTTATCCTATTGACTTAAGTGTCACAACATGTATTCGCTGTGTGAAGGTGTATATTTAAGTGGTCTGAGGTTTTGTACTTTATTTGTTTTTGAAGTGTATTAATTGTTTCTAGTTTCTTGTACATAGTCCCTGTGGTTAACATGATGTCAAAACACTATTTATTTCTCTCATTTCAATCATAAAGATTCGTTGTGCCATGCCATACTATGTGAGCTGTAGATAAGCCAGTATTGATTGTATGATGTTTGTAGTGCAGGACATGTTGCCTGTAGTTAGATGTTGGTATCAGATGAGCTTTAACTAACCAACCCAAGGTGATAATACCGGCTTCAGCAACAAATGATGTTGAATCATGTGTGTTATTTATGTATTCTCTGAAGTTTAAGGGCATGTGATCCTTGTGTTATAGCGGGGCAAGATGTGCTGTAAGCTTCAGGGGCAGATTGTGTTATTGGGGGCAGTGGTGCCATGAGGTTCAGGGGCAGCTTGTGTTATAACGGGGCAAGATGTGCTGTGAGGTTCAGGAGCAGATTGTGTTATAACAGGGCAAGATGTGCTGTGAGCTTCAGGGGCAGATTGTGTTATTGGGGGCAGTGGTGCCATGAGGTTCAGGGGCAGCTTGTGTTATAACGGGGCAAGATGTGCTGTGAGGTTCAGGAGCAGATTGTGTTATAACAGGGCAAGATGTGCTGTGAGCTTCAGGGGCAGATTGTGTTATTGGGGGCAGTGGTGCAGTGAGGTTCAGGAGCAGATTGTGTTATAACAGGGCAAGATGTGCTGTGAGCTTCAGGGGAAGATTGTGTTAAAGCAGGGCAGTGGTAGCAGGGCAGAGTTTCAGGGACAGATTGTGAAGGGGGGGCAGCAGTGCTGTGAGGTTCAGGGGCAGGTTGTGTTATGGCGAGGCAGTGGCCCTTTTAGGTTCAGGTGCAGGTGCAGCTTGTTATAAAGGGGGGGAAATGGTGCTGTGAGCTTCAGGTGCAGCTTGTGTTATAATGGGGCAAGTGGTCCTGTGAAGTTCAGGTGCAGCTTGTGTTATGATGGGGCAAGTGGTGCTGTGAAGTTCAGGTGCAGCTTGTGTTATAATGGGGCAAGTGGTGCTGTGAAGTTCAGGTGCAGCTTGTGTTATGATGGGGCAAGTGGTGCTGTGAAGTTCAGGTACAGCTTGTGTTATAATGGGGCAAGTGGTGCTGTGAAGTTCAGGTGCAGCTTGTGTTATGATGGGGCAAGTGGTGCTGTGAAGTTCAGGTGCAGCTTGTGTTATAATGGGGCAAGTGGTGCTGTGAAGCTCAGGTGCAGCTTGTGTTATAATGGGGCAAGTGGTGCTGTGAAGTTCAGGTGCAGCTTGTGTTATAATGGGGCAAGTTGGAGCATGAAAATAATAAGGTTTTGCTTGCATGCATGGCTCATAGATTTTAGTTTTTATAGCACTAGTTTTTATATATTTTTGAAGTATTGTTTTTTATTACCCATAGGGTTAGAAATAACCGAGTTCATAAAAATCGTATAGTGCTGGGATTGCATTGTTTCAAGAGTTCTAAATATTATTAAGGCACATTCAAATTAAACACAGAATTATGAAACATCTACAAAACACTCCAATCATTGCACCCAATGAAACCTGTAAACTGCTCAATTCTTGATGGACATAAGGAAATGTTATTTTAGCCCCATACAAATGAACCAAATGAGTGCATGACTGCCGTTTACTTGTTTTTATGCTAGAAACCATAGCTAGGTTATGCCAGCTAGTATCATGCATGTTTATTTAGCAGATTGATAAACAAAATATTTTTAACATTGATGGAGAGGTGTTAATAATAATGTGTATCAATTGAACAGTTGTCATGACAAGCTTTTGTCATCTGTGTCCAGGGCCCTGTGACTGAGAGTGATTATTGACTAAGTGATTATTACTTAACACCACAACAGCAGTTTTGCTGATATTTGCTGCTCTATCAAGCGGAAGAGTAAACAATTTGGCAATAATGTCAGAAATCACACTTTGAAAATATTTGGCAAAATAGCTCCCTAAATCAAATCAACTTCTTCTGGGTATTTACGCATGAGATAATCAAACACAACAATGTTTTCCTTTGGGTTTGAATCTCATTCGATTTGTTTGGAGATTGACTTGAGTACAAAACCACATCTTTTCTGATTTTGAGTTAAAGTTGATGATGTTTTTTTGTGTGTCAGTATAGTTCCTTGCTCCTCTGACATCACAAACTCTTACGGTAATAATTCTCACAGGTCAGTGCTCAGCTGCTGATAAACCACATGGTATTGAGACAGGTTATTTTTTGTGGTGTTGGGTGGGGTGGGGTTGGGGTTGGGGTGGGGTAGGGTAGTGGTGGGTGATACTACTTAGAGGACTGTATGATATCTTGCAGGTCGCCTGTTTTAGGTAACATCTTTCATGAACCTCAAAATATGTGTGACATTTTTGTTCATTCCCCCTCCCCCCATCCCTATAATAAATGACAAGTCCCTAACTTATGTTCAAATTTATAAATTTTTTATTTGAAAAAATAGAACTATGTCATTTTTTTCATGCACCCCATAGTTGTGATAAATTTTGGCGACCCCCCTCCCCCTCTTTCGCTGTGTCATTGTTTCATGACCCCCCAAACCTCCTTAATCTCACTGACTCCCGTACCTTCTCCATAATAAATGACCAGAGCCCCATTCCTCAAAGCGATCTTAGCTATTATGATCGTAACCCTATGTTTAAGTATGGGACTTACGATCACCTTAGTGCTAAGATCGCTTTGAGGAACAGGGCCAAGTCCCTTACTTTGTTGCTAGGCTAATTCAGAAGGTTTTATACATCAATTTGTATGCAAATGTTGGCCATTACTTCTATCGCAGACAGTGACCAGCTGTCCAAGACTTGCTATACTGGGATATGCTATGTGATACTGATGTTGTTCAGTTTGTAGTTTTACATATTTTATACTATGTATTCATTGACTTTGTACATATCAGATGATGACAATATGATCTTCTATAGATACTGAGGCAGAACCATGCAGTAGTGTTGTGTTTCCCTGTGATTTACAATCATATTTAAATCTGATTTGTTGCTCTGATTTGATACCTCCCTCAAAGAGAGGTATCAAATCAGAGTAAAAAATCTGTTTTGAGGAGATTGCTGTGATTTGCTTCATAATATGGTATTCTTATCTTGTGGGTGTCGGCCTCTAGGTTGTAGGTGACTTATACACAAAAGTGCTTGAACTCTGTGTTCTTCCTGGTCGCGTTTGATCAACATTCATCCCCATCTTTGAAAACAAACTATGAGTGGAAACATTTGTCAGTGGTACTGAGACCAGTTCTAATTCTTGTTTACCGATTCTTGCCTTTAAAGCAAAGATCCTAGAGGAAAATAAGATGACACTCATTCTCTGTTAAGTTGATGACTAACAATTCAGTATATTGTTGTTGCTATTTGTCTTCAAGGGGTAGCAAAGAGATCAGTCAACATGATCAGACATTTGTTGATATGTTATTTCCAATGATCTGCTTCAATCTAGGACAGACTCATTGTAAAACAAGGACATACAGAATTAGCCTGATCTGTTAAGTGTAAGCACCTTAGCCAGCCAACTTCTTTACCATGTTTATATTGAGTGATATTTCCTTGTGATATTGGGGTGGTCATTTTGATATCTGACTTATCCTGGTCAAGTTTGAGGGATGGGTCCCCACACTGATGGGGTTATATACAGTGTGAAACAAGAGCTTCATAATAGCAACAGCTAGATGTGATAACTTGTCAAAATTCTTATGGCCTGTTTAGCTAGCTTATCCACATATCCAAGTTCAACCAGACAGACCAGACTATTTTACTAACTGGGTATACCTACTAAATATATAGGGTTGGTGGGGTAACCTATTGGTTAAATGTTGGTATGTTGCACTGAAGATGTGGATTTGATTTCCCATGTGGGTGCAAAATGGGAAACTTATTTCTGTTGTCACCATGCCGTGATATGGCTGGAATAGTGCGGGCGGGCGGTTACCCTAGTGGTTAAGGCGCTCGCTTGTCACGTCGAAGACCCGGGTCCGATTCCCGACATGGGTACAATGTGTGAAGCCCATTTGTGGTGTCCCCCGCTGGAATTGCTGGAATATTGCTAAAAGCGGTGTAAAACCTCACTCACTGGAATAGTGCTGAAAGCGTTATACATTCTACTCATTGAATACAGTGATATTCTCCATAGGGCTGTGTATTACTTCTGGCAAATGACTGGACAGTAATAGGGTCAGGAGATACCAACACCAGGATTATGTGTATTCATGACTGATTGCAAGAGTCTTTGTTTTATTCAATATTCTGTACAGGAGTTTGATACTTAGCACAAGTGACAAATGAATTCTAGAGAAGCCTGTCAATATTTTTCTCGACTAGAGGTGTTTCTCTGGTCATGAATATTTGGGCCAACTTGTCATGTGATCTCAGAGAACATGCCCATTTGGTTTGTAACAATTTTGATCATGTTTTCTTGTGTCTATTTATTTTAACATTAAATTACATAAATGCTTTTAGGATATACCTTTCAATTATTGAGAATTTTTTATACATTATTTGACTAAATGTTTTATTAAGAAGTGTGACTTAATACTTTTAAGAATGTATGTACTGATCTGTGTATTATCTTACTGGACCTAGATCATGGATCTGAATTGGTGATATGGTATTATGTCTTGAATTATGTCCCAAGCGCTTGCAATCACCAGAACCTAGGTATGGTATCATGCTGCATGCTATTTCTTACCATTTCTAACATTGAGTGTCTATGGAATCGGTGAAAATGGAATCAGTGGGTAGAGGTAAAGCCCTCTTAGCACTATCCCATTGTGATCCTGTATTTCAGTATCTCCAGTCTTAACACAACTGCAGGACGGAAAAGAATGACTAATTCCCTCATGTTTTTATTAATCAACCTTGTTTGTACCTTCTGAACCTGTGAAGGTGTTTAATAAGACTAGCTCCAGTATCAGTATCAGATTTTTCATTTGAACATGTCACATAAAATCCTTACGGCATCATGAGATTGTTTGTCTATGATGTCTCTGTCAGTTATTTGTTTATTGTAATGCTGAATAGTGCTGCCACTGTGTTGGAGGTGATGATGATATTCAGGACCAGGCCTTGCAGTCAAGCAGTGGGAATTAACACTATGCCATCACAAATCATGGGGACTCCTTGTAAAGAACTTGTACTAGCCTTTACTTTTGGGTGAAACTGTGACAACATCTATGACTTTCTATTTGCTATGTATTTGATGAAGTATTTTGCTCAAAATTGATTAGTCAATAATTTATGAACTGTTAGCAAATGGTGCTAGTGGCTTACTTTATTTCATTTGCCCTTTGTTAAATCCACTTGTCATGGGTCCTTGTGTTAATTTCCATTGTTGTAGACAGAACGTGATTTTCTGTTTTTGTACATAAAAGCAATAATCCATGCTGTCTGCAATTAATTGCTGTGGTCTGTGTCTGGCTAGCTGGTTGATATCTTGTTATGTAGGTTTGTCTATTGTGTTGATCCTAACCATCTGAAGTACCGACATAGTAGCTGTGCACTGTGTGTGGATTGTACATAGTTCAGAGTGGAGTGTGAGAGTGGACAGTAAACTATCTTCAATCAGTTCACAGTTTCTGTATTTCTTTCACAACTCATTTGACCTGTGAAGGTCCGGCGTAGAATAGGTCTTCAGGAACCCATGCTTGTCGTAAGAGGGGTCTAACGGGATTGGATGGTCAGGCTCGGTGGCTTTGGTGATGCATGTCATCGTATCACAATTACGTGAATAGATGCTCATGATGTCAATCACTGGATTGTATGGTCCAGACTGGATTATTTACAGACCGCCGTCATATAGCTGGAATATTGCTGAGTGCGGTATTAAACAACAAACAAACAAACAAATCATGACTCATTTGTTATTTTGTTTGTTTTATTTATGTTAATGAATTTTGAAGGAACAAGTTTCCACTAATTCATTTGTTGGTGTTCAATAACAAACAAACCCTAGGGAACCCAGGTCAGGTCCTGCCTACTTCATTGGTTGTCATTCGAAGTGAACACATTGGACAGGTCGGTATCGTCAACTTGGTTGATGGCTCTTCATGATATCCTGACGATTTTGGACGCTGCTCATAATGTCAATCACTGGTTTGTGTTATCCAGGCTTGATACTTTACAGGCTGCTGTCATATAGCTGGAATAGTGACAGTGTGGATTTCAACCACAAACACACAACTGCAAGGAACATTTATCAAGGTTTGTATCCCAGATTAGCCTTGGTTACTCATTTGGGTCATGGTTGTGGGGGCCCCTGAAGATCCGGGGTAGAACAGGTCTTCAGCAACCCATGCTAGCCGTAAAAGGCGATTATGCTTGTCGTAAGAGGCGACTAATGGGATTGGGTGGTCAGGCTCGCTGACTTGGTTGATGCATGTGATTGATCCCAATTGTGTGGATCGATGCTCATGTTGTCAGTCACTGGATTGTCTGGTCCAGATAGATACTTTACAGACTGCCTTCATATAGCTGGAATATTGCTGAGTGGGGCGTTAAACAACAAACCACCAACAACAACATGGTTGTGGGTGTCACCAAAGTGGTAACGGTCCAGGACCTGCATCACTTTTGGCTCTCCTCCCACATTAAGCAGACAAATATAAATGAAATACTACTGGATGTGAAGTTAAATCCAACTCATCCATTCCTTATACCTTTCAACTGCTGAAGAAGAACCGCAAAGTCACAACACACCATGAGTCTATGTTTATTCACCTGGTCTTTAAGCCAAGGTGCTGTACATGCTTAAATAGGTAACCCCATATGGCCATTTCTTTTGAGATTTTACTTTTTCCTATTTCAGTTGTGACTAATATCACTTAGATCTGACAGACAAGATTTTCTATGGTACGTGTTGTATGGATGCAGGGGTCAACGCGCTTGATCCTGGAAGATTGTCCTGAGACTATTGAAACATCAATGGCCAATGAATGTATAGCTATTTTAATAAGGGGTATATACATAAATAAAGTACATAGATGTGTATAAAATCACATATCTAACAATAATACCACAGGGTAGATCTGGACGGTACAGAAAGTATATAACAAAATAATCCATGCAGCCTTCGAAATTCCAGCTAGTCCGCTAGCCTATGACAACTAAATTGTGATGAGGACAAGTATAAATCCAATGATGGTGGTCCTCATAAACTAGGACAACAATTCTGAACCAGTTCTCAATGCTTCAAGTTTGCAATAAACTGAATACAAGTGACAGAAAATGTAAACATATTAAACATTTTTGTCTGGTTCAAGCAGGACTAGCTACACATTCTGAGGACTAGAGAAAGTAAGTTTCCGCTAGTCCAGAGAGGACTAGTGCTAGTCCTAAAAGACCTGAATTTCTTAGGCTGCTAAAAAGGTACAATTGCATATTGTGATTATACATACAATGTGAATATAGTAAAAACGTTGAGAGTAATGGATGCGCTAAACATAATGGGTAGTTTGAACTTTAAATACAGACAAAATGTATTATCCCATAGAAACTCCTAAAGCTTTGTATGTGTTTAGTTTTAAGATAAATATATCATTAACTGTACTACAAACGTAAATGTGGAAGTCAAGTCAATCATAACCAACACAATGCCCATAAAGGTTATATGGTGGAAGTGGCGCATACCTGTTGAAATCTGATTCTGCACTTTTCAATCGTGAATGGGATCGGGTAGCTTAGTGGCTAAAGCGTTGGCTCCTCTGGCTGAAGACCGGGGTTCAGTTCTTCTCTGGGTTCAGGGTACAAGTTTCAGACATACAAGCAGCCCCATCAGGGACAGTTTCAATTTCAAAAATACGATGGAAACAATATGATACACAGGTCGGAGGTTTGATCCCCTGGCAGCGTCATATCAAAACACGTTAAAAGATGGTACATGTTGTTACCGTGCCTGGCGCTAGGCATTACAAGGATTGGTCGGCTCGGAGTCTAGTATACTGTGTCTGGGAGGGGTATTCATGTTAAACTACCAGCATGGAATCTCGGTGGAGTAGCACTATGAAACCGGCATATGTCCGGACTAGTTTAAGCAGCCACGCACGCGCCTCTTAATTTGACTGCAGAGTTATTAGGCATCGATTAACGAAGTTCAGATCTGTATTGAAGGGGATGTCTGTCAGTACAAAACATCATTTCTTGGTGCTCATTCTTCATTCTGGAGGAAGAATGGTATGTATTTAAAAACAAATTCAAGCCAGTCCTGCTATGTATGTGCCTATCATTGCTTCTCCTATAGAGGCTTTGGTAGTAAAGTTTAGAAACAAGTTACAGCAACTAGTACAAAATATAAACTTTGGACCTAATTTGATCAGTCGTAGGCCATCCACGTATTGCCAGGTTTTATTGGTTTTAACTACATATAACAGCTAATTTGTAAATTCACAAGGGTTTAATTTGTAAGGGACACTTCAATGATGCTATACGATCTTACTTGCAAAGACTGATGTTTAGAAACGTTTTGCCACAAAGAGAATGTTGCGATTTGTCTATATTTAGTTTCAGGGCGCCTTAATAACAAATGTGAAATGAATATGATGAGGTATATAAATCCGCAGTTTGGTGAAACTTTCCATGAATATATGAAAAGTGGAGAACAGTCATTCATCTAACAACTACTTGGTATTGTAAGTAAGGATCTGTCACACTAGGGTAATCAGCTCTCAAACTGTGATGTATCACGCATTCTAGTTACACCAACGTCAAACTTCACATCAAAGACTTCATCCTGTAACCATTAAATGGTGTTTTGAACATAATACTTATAGTGGTTTTGGTCCAAGGCTAGGCGACACAGAGTCAAACATAACCCCTTATTACAATAACATTCACAGCATATGGTGTAATCAAAATACATGTTTATGTACATCTGTGAATGAACTACCATGATGAATATACAGTCGACATGATCACATTTGTAATAATGACGGGAACTGTTGCGGTGTGAGATTCAGAGTCTTCGTCTCGCTGTCCTGTAATCTACTGACGGGGGACCCGTTCCACAAAGCCATCTTAGCGCTAAGATGATCGTAAGCCTTCGTTAAAGTATGGGAGCTACGATCAACTTATATCGCTTTGTGGAACCGGGCCCAGGGACCCGTGCACAGAGGTGTTGGCACCAAGACGATCGTCAGCCATATTTGACATCAATAGTTGCGGCAGTACTGGCGCTAAGATGGTCTTGTAGAAGCGGGCTGAACTCAGGTGCCTAAGACATCGTGTTAGTTCAGAGTTCAGTCTCCGTGACTGTGTCCAGTAGTCTACTGACCAGCTCGGACGCCGAGGGCGGACTGTCACTCACCCAACACAGCTGGACACAGTCCAACAGCTGAAACAGACAGTTACATGTAAAATATGTATTGTAAGGATAATGCTTAATATACACCCGAGGGCGGTCGGATAGCCTAGTGGTTAAAGCGTTCGCTCGTCACGCCGAAGACCCGGGATCGATTCCCGACATGGATACAATGTGTGAAGCCCACTTGTGGTGTCCCCCGCCATGATATTGCTAGAATATTGCTAACAGCGGCATAAAACCATACTCACCCACTCATTCATATACACCTGACACAGACATATTTCTGATACATAACCAGTTAATAAAGAAGACATATTTCGTATTAAATAGTCAGAGAGTAAATGGGGGGAAGCGAACCCGGACCTCCGGCGTGACGAGTGAAAACGTTAACCACTAGGCTACCCCTTCAGGCTCACCAGGGATGTAGAGCGCAACGTGCACGTGGGGGCATGGATACCAACATCAAAACCACAACCAGAAAAAATGCGTCTTATGTATATCCGGACTATCTGCGCTCCATAACCCATTTTTGCCGTAAAAGGCGACTGTGCTTGTCGTATTGGGCGACAAACGGGATCGTTCACTTGGTTGATGCATGTCATCGTATCCCAATTGCGTGGATCGATGCTCATGATATCAATCACTGGATTGCCTGGTCCAGACTCGATTATTTACAGATCGCCATCACATAGCTGGAATATTGCTGAGTGCGTCGTTAAGCAACAAACAAACCATAACAAATATTGAACACAACCTGTTCTATGGACCACAAAGTCTGGCCTCCAGCGCAGATCTCCCTATATCTACCAAAGGGACTGTGGAATTAGAATAACTTGACATAAAAGTTGTAACTGTATTTAACTTGGTAAGTTGTCACTATGTGATAAGCCATGTTTGAGGTATGTAGAGTGGACTCACCTGCTTCCCAATTGTCCCAAAGTTTCCCACCTGCTCTAGTCTTGACCTGAGTACCCTGAACTGACCATTAGTAGCAGGAAACAATTCCGAGAAGGGCACCAGTGGAACCTTACTGGACAGTTCCTTACACGCCTGCACATGGGTCTTAGTCACTCCCTTCAACATCTGTACAGGGAGGTCCGTCTGCCTACCAGAGGAAGACGTGGGGCTCGCTAACTCTCTGATAAGATTCTCATCAAATCCTAGAATAGGGTCCATCACATCCTGAAGGCTTCCCTTGTGTTTCAGCGTATTCCTCTTTGTGAAGAGTCTGTCAATAACTAACTCCGCATCCACTACTGACGATGGCTTATACGGAATCTCTATAGCCATGTCCACAATCTCCTCCTCATCTTTGAATTCAGCTTTAGGTTCAGAGTGATGCAGGAAAGACTGTGTTTCATCATCCATTGAAGAAGCCCCAGTTATTTCATCAGGTAGTTCGCGGATAATATCTTCTAGGATCATTGCATTGGTTCTATTGTCTGTATCGCGAGGTCTTTTGGTTCCATGTACCACTGCCACGGGTCTCGTGTGGTGCAGAGGTCTCACACCCATTGAGGAATCAGTGTCTGAGGGTTCAAAGACCCCTTGCGAGTCAAGAGCATTGAAAATTGCATCATCATTATCATCAACAACACTGTCGTCCTCCTCTTCAATGACCTCAGCTGTAGATTCCATGTATGAGTCCCAATCTGTGGCATCAGACACATCCTGGGATGATGCACTGGATACAACAGACACTCTCAGAGGAATGCCCTTCTTTCGGAGTTCCTTGTAGCGTTTGCTCGCCGAGCCGAAATCATGTCTCCTCGTGCGCTGGGTCTTTGTCACAACTTTACCAAGATGTTTCCTGTTTTGGTGTGGACTGCACTGTGTTGGATGAGCAATCTTAGGCTTGGCAGCCATCATAGGGTACTGTTCATCTGGACCAATCACATCCTTTGAAGGACGCACATCTCCATTACGGAGTCTCTCAAGCTTTTGATCCAGGTCTGTAGAGTCATAAGATGAAAACGAATCGGTTTTACTCCATGATGTCCGTCTGTCATACAGTGGTTTGGTATGCATGCCTGATGTTGGTGTGATGGAACACTGGCAGCTACACGTATCAGTCGTGTAGCTTCCAGATGGACAGGAACAGGACCTTTCGTCAACCATGGAAACATCGCAAGAATTCTCGCTTGCAATAGATGCACTGTCAAAGCCACTATCAATAATCTTTCCCCCCTTTTGTGCACCTTTAGTCTCGTACGTTGGAGGAAGTTCAATGACGTCCTCCACGTCGTGCTCAGGTAGAGTTGTCTCTGCCTGAGAGGACAGGGACGTGAGCTCTCCGCTGGTAAGGGACACGTCTGCCTTCCTGGGAGAGTGCTTATAGAAACTGCTGCCTAAACTATCATTGCTGCTGAAACTGGAAAAATGCCCAACTTTAGGAGGTTTGGGATGAACAGTTTGTGGACGCGGAGGTGGCAGGCGTTCACAATCCATATCAGCCTCTGAACCTTTGAAGGAGTCTTTTATTTGGGGAATCTTTTTCACTGATGCGTACTTCATTTCAACAATAGATGCACCCTGACCCCGAGTATTGTTTAAGTTGGCATTGGTTAAAACAGAGCTTTGCTTCTGCCCCAATACTCTTTTAAGTTTTGTTCTAGCCTGTGCTTTCTTTATTCCGTGACTCGGTGTTTGAGGACGAGTCGTGGCTGCTGCTGTAACAGGCCGTGGTGGTGGTGGAGGTGCAGGACGCCGAGGCACAGGCTTACCCGATCCTTCAGACATCTGCCGTTGAGCGGGTCGAGCAGTTTGTGGTCTTTTCTGTCTACTATCACCAAAATGTGTCTCCTTTTCACCTCCACTGAATGGAACAACAGTTGTGCCATTGTCGTGGTAACTCCGTGCTGACAAAGGTCGCGAGATTTCCTGCACTGCCTCTCTGGACACGCCCTGGTCTTTCCTCTTTCTGTTCCTCCTGGAAAACACATCTTTCAACTCCTTTTTCATTCTCTCATTGTAGGACGTCAGTAACCGTTCCTTCTTATCTGCTTCCTTTTTGAGCCATAGATCCTTCAAGGTGGCAGCAACATGTTCGCCTCCCTCAGTCACCTCCGGGAGGTGCTCCTCAATGTCCTCCAAGGTACTGACAGAGGAGGCTGAATACCGGAGCGGGTCTGACCTGAAAAACACGCCTCCTCCTCCTACTGCGTTCCTATTGGGTAAATTAGGTTTCTGAGTCTGGTCAATGAAACGAGGATTACTTACATCTGCAGGTACCGAATAATGCGCACCGCTCGGATAATCTCGCCAGGACCTTTCATCTGACCTATTGTCATCTTTTCGTGGGTAACGGATTTGCTGAATGACAATTTGATCTCTTTGGATTTGTTCCGTGATTTCTTCTATCTCCTCATAATCATGTTCATATAGTGGAGGTTCCGCCCTGAACACTGGCGTGGGTGTCTCCCGGGCATACCCTTTAGGGGACTTACAAGGAACACTCCCCTTCAGCCAGCGTCCATCATCAGTGGCATGTCGACTAAGGTGATCATGCTCAGACTGCCCCGCATCCTTAAGTTTACCTGTAATCCTTACAGACGTCACAGGTTGTGCCCATGCATCTTGTTCCTCCGGAACGTTGGGGTGTGGATCGACTTCTTTCACATTTACTAGAGAACCAAATGGAGGAATATTATTTAATCCAGTTTCTCCTAGAATAGCTCGTTCGTCTAAACTACGGGATTTATGTGCCAGGTCTTGTACAGATTCACGGGATTTTGGATTGCCACTTTTCTGGGAGCTTATCACGATCTCACTTCGGGTTTTTCTGAATGGCTGTTTTTCATCCTCTCTCTTTTTGCACACGTATCCAATTATCTCCAAGGCAACGAGAGCAAATGCCCGTATGTCCGGGAGGAAGAACTGTTTCTTGCTGACCTGTGAGCTGGACGATGAGCCACCTTGTAGTGAGCCATAGATCTGGGCAGCCTCGAAGTCGCCAAGAGCCGCTCGCAACACCATGCACTGCAAGATACACACAATCATGTTGCAACGTTTACATTGATCCCATAAAGAAAGTAATCATGAACACCTTTCTGTCCTTCTTTTCTTCATTTATTGATGGAAACGAATAAGGGAACAATAAAAAATATAAGAAAATTAGCTTCTCTTTCATTACATTTGAAATAGCGCGCATACAAATTAAACACATGTCAGAATCAAATGTTGAGATGTGTTTGTGTGCATTGTTTCCAAGGCGTGGAACCCATGATAGCATATAATTTTACTGTGTCTGAACACAGTTTTCTCTTATTCATTTCCATTAGTATGTATGAATGTCTTTTTCTTGATAAAAGTGGTGACTTATGACTTTCCTTGGACGACAGATCAATTAATACAAGCAGAATATTGTAATAACAATAACAAGCACTATGTGGAATTACTTTTAAGATTGAGGCTACGTAATGATGGGACACTCTGTGTGTAATCTTCCTTTTTGTGTATATAAAAATAAGATGTTGATCTCCTAATGTGAGTGTGGGAATGCTGTTTAAGCCGCCCGGGACATCATGAGCAACGATCGCTGCAATGACAAGTAGACCCGTGAAGATTCCGGGGTAGAATTGGTCTTCAGCAATCCATGCTTGCCGTAAAAGGTGACTATGCTTGTCGTAAAAGGCGACAAACGGGATCGGGTGGTCAGGCTCGCTGACTTGGTTGATACATGTCATCGATCCCAATTGCGTGGATCGATGCTCATGATGTCAATCACTGGATTGTCTGGTCCATACTCGATTATTTTATAGACCGCCGTCATATAGCTGAAAAATTGCTGAGTGCGGCGTTGAACAAGAAACAAACAAACAAAGCAATGACAAGTAAGGTCACTGAACCTAACCATCAAATTCTCTTTAGTCAGCTTTTATGACAAGCCTGGATGCTGGATACCACCTCCAGAATTCCCACGGGTTCACGATATATCCGAGGTTTAACAACAGCAATCCCATGGGGTATAACTGTGCAATAATCTTAATGCCACCCTGACAATATAAAGATAACAATTTATCAGGGATTTGTTAATACAACTGTAGGAAAAATATATCATCAGTTCTTGATAACAGCACTTCACTTTTATCCCGTAATACTCTCAAAGCTCTACTTACACAAAGGGTTGTGTTTTGAGCCTATTCGGAAAAGTATATTGGCAATACATCAGATAAGGTTACTGATATTGAACTTAGACAGATAGATCACTGCTTGGGAATCCCAGTCATGTATTGACCTCCTGATATTTCAGCAGTGTAGATTACCTGTAGGCGTAGACAATACATACATGGGCGGAGCAGGTCAGGGGCGGCAGGTGGCGCTGCGCCACTGTGGGGTAATCGAGGAAAGATTTACTTTTGGATGATAACAGAGTTACAAGAAAAAAAGGGATTTAATCTTCAAACTCGAATTGTGTGTAAATAGCAATCTTTGAAAAAGGATTTGAATCTAAAGCTGACAGAGCCTTGTGATTACGCATATACACGAAGACGTGAATAATATGCGCTGGGTCTTGAAAGACTAAACGTATGAATTTGTTTCGTTTGGCACATATCACTATTATAGACCGAAATAAATTCACATACAGTAATAAAGTCAAAGTAAAAATAGTAAAAATAGTAATAGCTTGATCCGTTTGTGAAAACCCGATGTCCGTACGGTACAATTTACAGATTCGAGAGTGTAGGTTCTCGAACTTAATACTTCAGTTTCTTTTTGGCGGTTTCTCGTATTCAAAAGATTATCCATACATCACTTCCTTAGAAGGAGTGTTCGAATGTCTTGGCCTCTGCCTCTACCTCCGTTCCTAAACACTCTACCGTTTTCCTCCGATCTCCAAAAAATGAGAAGTGAGGGAATGAATTTGGTTTAACGACGCTTTGAACATAGGGCCTTTGATGTAATGATATCACCAATATTTTTTTTATGGCTGTGAAATATGGGTTTACGAAAATGTGACCATAATTGAAAAGATTCATTCAACATTCCTTAAACTAGATTGTGGTCTTAGGGTGAGTTGGGCTTAACGCCGCTTTTAACAGTATTCTAGTCATATTGCGGCGTGTCAGCTTAATGTGGGAGGAAAGCCCGAGGTGATGCAGGTCTCAGACGTTTACCACTTCGGTGAAACCCACGAGCACGCGTATGTTGCTGACAAACCTAGAAACAAACGGGGCGAACCGGGATTCGTACCCACAATCATAGGTTTCTGGTGTGCCCAAGGGACGCAACTCTGCACAGCGAATCGCGGCGCTTTACACGACTGGGCCACCAGTGCCCCCTGTGGTCTTAGGAATGCAGCCCCAAATTTTATGGCTTTATGGAGAACTAGGTTTGGTTGTTTGTTTGTTGTTTAACGCCGCACTCCGCAATATTCCAGCTATATGACGGCGGGCTGTAAATAATCGAGTCTGGACCAGACATCATGATCACCGATCCACGCAATTGGGACTGATGACATGTATCAACCAAGTCAGCGAGCCTGACCACCCTTTCCGGTTAGTCGTCTCTTATGACAAGCATAGTCGCCTTTTACGGCAAGCATGGGTTGCTGAAGACCTATTCTACCCCGGATCTTCAAGGGTCTGGAAAACTAGGTAGGTACCCTTATCGATTTATGCAGCTAGACTGGTAGTTTGTTTCTGGCATAAACTTAGTAAACCCGGACCTGCACCGAATTTATCGCAACTTATCCCTAAGTTGGCTCATTTGCACCTTTTATCTGATAATCAATAAAATATCTGGATAAGAAATACCAGGCAAATATTTAATTTATTGGTCTATCCAATGTATTTTATGACCCACTAAGCGTTTTAGCCAGTTGCTAATTGCTCAGGTGGAAGGACTTTAAAAGATCAGTTTTATCAAAATTGGAGATCTGACGTCGAGAAAAATTCAAAACGGTATTATTATCAATACTTAAAAGATATCCCGTCATTCGAAAACTTTCTTCTCCTATCTATACAAATTTAGAACGTGTAAGCATAATCTACCTGTCAAGGTTGGCCGTTGGCTTGGTATGGATAGAGAATTAAGGATATGGTAAACTGTGTATGTCGCAGCTAACACCGATGAATTCCACTACCTGTTTAAATGTGAAGCTTTCCATGAATTCATATCCAAATTTTTCTCAAATAAATATACGCAGTTTTCTAATATCATAAAATACAAAAATATTGCTGTGTACCAGAATTGTAAAAAAATAAAAAACCTGCAAAAATTCATATGCATAATAGACAAAAACCTTTGAGTCTGAGTGTGTCAAGCAAAATGTTTAGATGTCGCCAAATGTTTGTGCAGTATAACCGACATCTTGTTAAATACAAATTTGCATCATCTTCCAAAACTATTGCTCCTGTACCACCGTGGGGGGTTCTTTTTGAGAAATAAAGTGATTAATTGATTAAACAGTATTCCTGTCATATCACGGCGTGTCAGCATAGTGTGGGAGGAGAGCCCGAACTGATGCAGGTATCAGACGTTTACCACTTCGGTGAAACCCACGAGCACGGGTATGGTGCTGACAATCCTAGAAACATAAAGGGGGGACTGGGATTCGAGATCACAATCATAGGTTTCTGGCGTGCCCAAGGGACGCAACTCTGCACAGCAAATTGCAACGCCTTAGACGAGCGGGCCATCGGCACCCCCATCTCTCCCCGAAGATGTGGGATAATAGCCCTTTTTGGCCAGCTGGAAATGCTTAATCTAACAGTTGCAGAAAACTTTGAACTATTAGTATATAACTTAGACATATTCAAAAGGCAACTGGCCTATTTGTTACACGCAAATATTGCTGATATGAGTAAAAAGGGCAGACTTCACGTCATGAGCTAGTCGCGGAACCCAACATGAACGTGCTACCATATTTTTGTGACGTCTTTTATGTGCATCTATGAAAATGAGCTTGGTTCAAAGACTTCCTCATGTTCAAATGTTAGACCTATAAAATCTGCCTGTTTGACACATTTTATCCTTTTCTACGTATCTATCCATTTAACGATGTCATTAATACAAATGAACAAATCTGATAACTTTCCTAAGTTTTTCTTAAATGATGCCGATCCCGTGTGCTAAATATGACCCTACCTTTTACTTCGGCCCGTCCCTTAAAGATCCATTTGGCCCTCCCCTCCCCTCGGCACCTACCCCTCCCCTCGGCACCCACCCCTCTCCTCTATCCCCTACATGCAGGTACCCCCCATGCTGGTGCTGGAAACATGCCAGAGAAGCCTATCTACCCGGTTCGATTTAGTGACTATACGTCAGCAGTGCTGCCATTGTGTATAGCGTCTCCTTTGACAAGACCACACTGTACGCTTTCAGCCTGTCCATTGACCCAGGAATAATGTAGTGTGCGAGGCATAATTTGGTACATACACCACCGGGCGTTGTATATGTGGGGGACCATTAGCGCTATCGGGTTCCCCTGCATTGATGTTCTCTTGGTGCCGTTTAGAGGGGATCTGTCTCAGGTTCCATGTAATTAGTTGTGATTAGGTGTTTCGCAATAAAACAGTCAATTGAAGAAAATAAAAAACATAAAATCATGTTTGAGAAATTTAAAAGAGATCTGAACACATTACAATTATATGTATCTAGAATTTCGTATTTCTAGAACTCGATCTTAATAGTGTTATCCTATATCATGCCCAGAGGCAGCACGAGAAGTTGTTGTTTAACGAGATGTGTGTCCTTGTGTTAGTTTAAGGCACCATCTGTATTGTTATATTGTAGCCGTATGTGACGATTTGTTTTCAGATTTTTTTTGCTCTTTTGGAGAAAAGTATTTCCTTTAACTAGAGATATTTATTCTTGTTTCCTCGTTCTATTAAATAATGATGCGCGTGCAACTAAGTCAGAAAAAATACAACCAAGAGAGCTAGTTGTGTTTAACAGTAGTTCAATTATATCACGGCGTGTCAGGTACGTTTGGGTTGAAAATAGACATGGGTTGTAGATATTCGCCTTTTGGGAAACCAAGAGCACTATGTGGTACTGACAAACCAAGGGTCATAATTGAGGCGAATTTTGGATTCAAAATCAAAATCAGCGGATCCTGGCATAACTAAGGGGTGCAACTCAAATCTATACCACGATCTGCGGATCCTCGGAACATTTAGTGGCTTTACCTCTTACGCAGCAATCGTTAATCCAGACATTTGCTAATCCGAACGATTTCAGTGGGAATCCTTCCGTCCGGATTAACGGGGTTTTACTGTATATTGTAACTGATAGCTGTACACACACCTGCACGGACCCCTTGAGGAAAACGGAGGCGGAAGTGAGTTTGTGGTGGAGGATGTTGTGTTTGTGGAGGCAGGAGAGGCCCTCAGCGATGTCGTGGATGATGGTTCTCTGACACGGCTCCGGCAGCGGTATGTCTAGATGGTGCAGGAAGTCGTCCAGGGTGCCGCTGTTGGTGAACTCGAAGCAGATCAGTCTACAGAGAGTCAGTGTAAACCCTGTGTTAGATACACGCTGATCAACGGTTTCCTTTTGATAAATACCTTCACAACTTGCCTATGAAACTAACGATAACTTTTAATTAACACATGAGGCTTTTACGGATGACAACTTCCTTATTGTCTCAGGGCTATTTCTTGTCCCTTTATCACCTTCCTAGCTCACGTGTGCATATTACACATGTATGACTGAAAACAGTTTTAGCTAGTTCCGTGGTAGAAAAATGCCGTGAGAATTTTTTCTTACGTGGTACCTGGCATTGGAAGGATTGCCTTTGATTTTGAAATTGGCTGTCCGTAGCAGAGTGGTTGCATTTAATTAAGCATGTACTTTCGATGAACGATATCATGGTTTTTGCTGTTGGTCAGAACACAAGTGGAGGTGCCTTTTAACAAAAGGACTTGAGAGAGATTTATTCTTTTGTGAATACCTTTGAACATATTTTTCATACGTCGAGTCATAAGTTAAGCTATTACTTTTCAAAGGCGAGAAGTGTAACCATTTGATCGGCTGCAAGCCCCAAAAGTACAAAGATTTTGATGATGGGTTTCAAGATGTCAGTAGAATGTATTTAAAAAAAGCAGCATTGCAATTATTGTCATGGAACTATGGAATTGGTGTCAAGGTCGCCATAGAAATAATTGTCATAGCAGTCAAAGGAATGATTGTCATACTACTTAATGGGATCTTTGTCATAGCAGTCAATGGAATGGTTGTTACAGTAGTCAATGAAAGATTGGCATAGCAGTCAAAGGAATGATTGTGTTAGCAGTCAAAGGAATGATTGTGTTAGCAGTCAAAGGCATGATTGTGTTAGCAGTCAAAGGAATGATTGTGTTAGCAGTCAAAGGAATGAGTGTGTTAGCAGTCAAAGGAATGATTGTGTTAGCAGTCAAAGGAATGATTGTGTTAGCAGTCAAAGGCATGATTGTGTTAGCAGTCAAAGGAATGATTGTGTTAGCAGTCAAAGGAATGAGTGTGTTAGCAGTCAAAGGAATGATTGTGTTAGCAGTCAAAGGAATGATTGTGTTAGCAGTCAAAGGCATGATTGTGTTAGCAGTCAAAGGAATGATTGTGTTAGCAGTCAAAAGGCATGATTGTGTTAGCAGTCAAAGGCATGATTGTGTTAGCAGTCAAAGGAATGATTGTGTTAGCAGTCAAAGGAATGATTTTGTTAGCAGTCAAAGGAATGATTGTGTTAGCAGTCAAAGAAATGATTGTGTTAGCAGTCAAAGGCATGATTGTGTTAGCAGTCAAAGGAATGATTGTGTTAGCAGTCAAAGGCATGATTGTGTTAGCAGTCAAATGAATGATTGTGTTAGCAGTCAAATGCATGATTGTGTTAGCAGTCAAAGGCATGATTGTGTTAGCAGTCAAAGGAATGATTGTGTTAGCAGTCAAAGGAATGATTGTGTTAGCAGTCAAAGGCATGAGTGTGTTAGCAGTCAAAGGAATGATTGTGTTAGCAGTCAAAGGAATGATTGTGTTAGCAGTCAAAGGCATGATTGTGTTAGCAGTCAAAGGAATGATTGTGCTAGCAGTCAAAGGAATGATTGTGTTAGCAGTCAAAGGAATGATTTTGTTAGCAGTCAAAGGAATGATTTTGTTAGCAGTCAAAGGAATGATTCTGTTACGAGTCAAAGGTATGATTGTCATAGTACATAATGTAACAGTTGTCACAGTAGTCAATGAAAGCAGTCAATGGAATCATTATCATTGCAGTCACTGATGTATACGTCCAATCTAAGTGATTGTTAATGAAGGTTATCAAGAAGGTATTTGAAATGGTTGACGCCAATGTCTAGCAAGGTCAGTGAAACAGGTTTCACAGTGGTCAATGGAAAGGTTCTCAGGAAATCTGTTAAATACAGGCGGAGGAAGTCAAGGGTAGGTTTTTCATGTATTAACTGAAACTGTTTATGAAAGTTGTACATTAATTCATGACCGAACATAACATTTTCTGATCTTGGTCCGAACCTTCTTTTGCATAATACCATGACTCAGCGTATAACATGCAGTTAGTCACCGTGTGTAACAGTGTGTGAAAACTGTCTGTTTGTCATTGCTATATACCATGTGTCACTGTGTAGTACACGCGGGTCACGGTGTCTATCTACATACATTGTCTCGACCTATTGCACTTACCGAGTAGCTCAACGGATTTTTATTTATAATTATGGAAAACCCTATCTTCAAGACAATATGTTTCTAGTGTCAAGTATACAATCGCTAATCAGACAAATACACCAAACAGTCACAGAGCTGGTGATTACTGATCATATATCCGACAAAGATCACTGTCTCAACAATAACCCTTTCACTGCGGCGGGCGTCACTGACGGCCCGATCTGATCAGAATGTAGAGAATTACTGAAGCAGCGAAGCAGAGTGAATAAGACTGTAGACAAACTATGCCATGTCATGTAGATCTTGGTATAGTGTTCATGCACTAAAGAAGTCTAAGCGTATGAAATATCTTTGTTTACAGGCCTGCTCTCGTTGACAGTTTGAGATTAGATGTGGCATTTATTCCTGGCGAGCTATAGGATAGTCATCCTGGCTATTCATAGTCATGCACCCATTCGCGTCTCCTAATACTCCTCTACCATCGTACGCCAATACGTGTAGAAAAGACAAGTTAAAACAACATGTTGTTTGTTGTTTAACGCCGCACTCAGCAATATTCCAGCTATATGACGGCGGTCTGTAAACAATCGAGTCTGGACCAGACAATCCAGTGATTGATATCATGATCATCGATCAACGCAATTGGGATACGATGACATGCATCAACCAAGACAGTGAGCCTGACCACCAGATCCCGTTAGTCGCCTCTCATTTAAAACAACGATGTGTGTTGAAAGGAACAGATTGTAATGATTGGAAACACCAAACGTCGTAAGAAACAATGTAAAACTGTCATTTGTTGGTTTTTAGATGCGACTTTAAGGATTAACAAACTAGTAACATAAACTGACACGGCACACACACGAGCAAACCTTGAATAACTGAAAGTTGTTGCACGTCACTGAAACCCACATTATGCAAATTAGAGACAGACCAGTTACTGTCAGAAGGAAGAAAGCATGTAGTCTAGTGTTACTTCAGTACCTTAGTTAAGGGCAGACTCGGGTCAACTGACAGTCATACCACATTTGTTCATGTCATGTTTGTAAATGTTAATTGATGAAATATTAATCTAGCACTTTACGACGGACACTTTCTCCGTTTGACACAGATTTGAATAGCTAGACATGTACAGAAAATAGGCACCATATCGAGGAATATTTAATACACTGAGATGTGAGGAAATGCAAGGTACATTGGGTTATGGGAAAGTGGGAATGTGTCTACCTTGACTCGCCAGGGATGATCTCCCCAGTGATGAGCGTCATCGTCTCGAAGTACGGGTTGCCGCTGTTGGTCCACAGACACTGTAGCAGACTGGCGCTCTGCGTCTTCCTCATCATCCCCAGGATGACGATCTCCTGGGCCCACGCCTTGAGGTGGTCCACCCCGTACACCTTCAGCAGACCACGCCTGTACACGCCCTTACCCACAGACCACGTGGCCTTCATGCGCAACTTGCCGGGGGCCTGGGTGGAATATTGAACGAAATATGGATCATGGAGTACACTGTGTTATTATTTCATACAGTATGGCGCCAGGTTCAAATTACGTTTTATTGAGAACCTCCACCCAACGCCGTGTAGCGTCTGTGCGCATTAAAATAAGACAATCAGAGTGCATCGTTTGCATTTGTCCTCTGTGTCCATCTACAGTTTCTGCTGAAAAGGTTTGCCAGTGTAAGCTGTAAAGTTGATTGAGTCCCTTAATGTTCCGAAGCATGGCATTACTTGACCTTAATGCACCAATCATATACCCAAATATATAGAAATTACATTTCGTAAATTAATGTCTTAATCGGCTTCACATCAATTTTTTGAATGCTTTAGATCAAAAGAACTGTGTCAACTTTGGTCGAAATCACACAAGTTTAATACAAGTTTTATATACATTCCTGTTGAAAGATAAGCACCCTATCTCTGTGTGTACACTGCACACACGCTGACAGCACGACTAAAACCGTCGTACCGACAATGGGTGCCATACTGCCAAACCAAACCCAAATGCTACATGATTGGTTTCAGTTCTTGAACATATATTGTTTATGTACTAGTCACAGCCTGTGCACGAACAATCTTTATTCACAAAAGGTTTTGCAAGGAAAGCGATCCAACCTACCTCTATTTTCAGCAGTTCCAGCTTCTTCAGCTTCTGGTAGGGTTCTTTGGTCTGTTGCTTCGTCCTGCAACACAGGGTGCTCCAGAGGATGGTAACGATGTTGCTGAGGACGGCGTGGAAGAAGGTGCTGACACTGAGGGCGACGACGGCGATCCACTGAGGTACCAGCAGCCGCGATGTGTTGGTGTAGATTATGACCGTCGTCATGAACAACACCACCATCCACACCAGCTGCTCCAAAAGGAGGAACCTTGGAGGTAGAGGGTGAGGGACTTAATCATTTCATGTTTATCATGTTGCAGTTATATAAATAAAATAGTTCGCTCGCTAACACCCATCTACTCTGTAGTTTATCATAGCGCTACCTTGGAGCTGTGCAGCAACTGAAACAACTTCTTACTGACGAGATGGGTTTTGAACTTTAACTTAAAGGCTTGGAGGGAAGATCGGGTAGCCTTGTGGTTAAAGCGTTCGCTCGTCACGCCGAAGACCCGGGTTCGATACCCGACATGGGTACAATGTGTGAAGCCCATTTCTGGTGTCCCCCGCCGTGATATTGCTGGAATATTGCTAAAAGCGGCGTAAAACCATGCTCACTCACTCACTTGGAGGGAAATAGAAACTTTGTGCAGAATAGGAATAGGATCCAACAGACTTAGATTTGAAAGTTGAAGCCCATTGTTGTTAGCAGTTTTGAAGCTTCGAACATGTTGGTACTTCTTCACTAAGTCTATCAAATATGAAGGCGTTGTTCCACAGTAGCAGCGACAGGCCATACATAAGATCTTAACAATAGGACACAACCTTTCAGCAGGCATAATGACTAAATGCAGTCAGTAATGCTACAGCTATTTTGCAAATCCCTGTAATAAGCCAAGTTGTCTGGATTAGATACATCAGACTGGGGTGTATATGTCAGGGTGTTAAATGTTCATGTGGGACTGTATCTTAATCACGATCATAATGTTTTAGTACCATGCCATCAATAGGAACTGACCTTCACGGCTGTGGAGTTTCAAAGTAGCATTAATGTTACTCATGTTAACAAGACAGGCATCGCTCGTGAATATCTGCGTTATGACAGGATATATAGGATATGAGGGATCTCATGTATTTTGATAGGTTTTGATGACTAGAAATAATTCTGAGATGTTTTAATGTAATTATATAGGTATGTATATCGTAGAGGAAATATCAGTAATTACATGTGCATATGTTTATTAGGATAAACTCATGTCTGGCGTGTAACTGAAGTCGAGTGAGTGAGTGAGTGAGTGAGTGAGTGAGTGAGTGAGTGAGTGAGTGAGTGAGTGAGTGAGTGAGTGAGTGAGTGAGTGAGTGAGTCAGTCAGTGAGTGAGTCAGTGAGTGAGTGGGTGAGTGAGTGAGTATGGTTTTACGCTGCTTTTTGCAATATTCCAGCAATTACACGGCGGGGAACACCAGAAATGCACTTCATACATTGTACCCCGCACACATACACGAGGATGTCGCTATGTAAGTGCAATAATCTCGAACGCGACGTAAAACCCAATTTTATCGCACCACCTAATCTTTGAGATAAAACTGTTATTGCATTGAGAGTTGAAAAATGGCAAGAAACATACACACCAACACAAATTTAAAAGAAAACATTAAAGACAAACCTCTGATACGTCTTGCCCTGACTCAGCATCATCATCTGCCAGATGTTCGGAGATGAGGCGTGGATCCTCCCTCCGGAGCTCTTCCACAGTCTGAACGTGGTCACCATGCAGACGATGACGGCAATGCTGAGGACTATCCAAGAGATGAACATCAACGCCGCGCCATATCCCGCTCCCTTGGCGTTAGTCTCCCGGACGGGGAGACAGGTGATCACGTAGGGGTCGTCGTTGTCGTTGAAGTAGTGGATGGGGAGGAAGGGGAAGAGGGCGAGGAGGAGAGTGAACGCCTTCTCCGGGACCAACATGGCTGGAATGGTCCATTTTGGGTAATGGGAATACCCCGATAGCTTTTCTGGGTATTGCACAAATAGGATGATGACGTTGGATATGAGGTAGACGCTGACGCTGTCAAGGACGCCGACCATGAGAAAGAACCCTGCTGCTTTACATAAACTCTCCGCCTGGAACCTGATATAACAGAGCAACAACGCTAGCCCTAGTCCTAGAATGAAGTGAGACACGTCCAGTAGAAGACAGGACAACTTCCACGTGTGGGGCATGGCGAACTTCAGCAGAAGCTTCACAAGGGCGGACGCGAAGTTCAACACTACCCCCACGACTGTGAACATGATGAGGACAGAGTTGAGGGGGGACGAGTACTCCCCTTGGAGGGTTGGAATGTCAGTTGTGTTGAATGCCATGCTTAGTTCTGGGAGGCTTACTGGCCCCCAAATCCAATGTAAGTTTTATCTTCTTTTAACTCTTTTAATTGAGTTCGAGACAACCGGGAATTCGACACATCCAGTTCGACTCATCCAGATTAACGTAGTGATAAATATAGTGAGAGTGTGCCGGGACCGGACTGTGAACTCGACACAACCGGGGATTCGACACATGTGAGTTCCAATCAGGGGGTTCGACTGTATATGGAATCATACAATACATCTATATGTAGATAAATCCAGTTTTAAATGTTTTGTTCACAAAAAAACACATCTAGTGGTGCTGCTTGTCCAATGGCTCCGGATCTGAGAACGGCTACCCGCAATCCCGAGGGTGGTGTGACTTGAACCACATCTGGTCAGACACCCGGGTTCGAACCAGGACCGGGGCGAAGGTAAGCCCCTCCATGATGAATGACTCACATGTCCTCTGTCCTGTCTCGGAGCTTACCTGAAATGATACACACGAAACTAGAGCGATGACATATACAAATGTCAGTTTTTGCAAGAAGACCTGTAATACTCCTCGTCTTAAAGCCTGATATTAATTGTCCGTCGACCCTAATATATGCCATATAAACGAAACACAGCACGTAACTAATAAAGTGAAATTCTGAGCATGTCTTCATTGTAAAATCAAATCCCTTAAGACACACAGTATAGCAACAATGGCATGTCTGTATCGCGAGACAACAGTGATCGGGTGTGTTATGCGGTGCGTCAAGTCTATGTCAACGGCAGTAGACAGACACTTGTCTTCAAGAGGGGTGATAGAACAAGCCCAGTCAGTAGATTCGGCAGCGATTAGCGGTAGGCAGGCAATTACAAGGCTGTATTATCTCCCTTCGATGACAAATACTCCACCTGAAGAACGTTGTTAAGTGGTCTGATTGTGCAAACTCGCTCCAATGTCATCGCGACGTTTGGCATTTTGCCCAAATCATCACATTTGTTGACAATGAATTATAAGCAAATATATGTTCAAATGTGTTTTATAACAACAGTGATTCAATTAAAATGTGACACATAAACTCCGGTAACTCGATGTCAAAGGAACATACGAGTGAGTGATTGAGTGAGTGAGCTGGGTTCAACGCTGCTTTGATCTGTATCAGAGTTTTCTTGAATGCCGACGAATGGGCAATCCGTGCAACCCTGGGGATCATTCTAAACCATTATATTGGATGAGTGAGTGAGTATGGTTTTACGCCGCTTTTTGCAATATTCCAGCAATATCACGGCGGGGGACACCAGAAATGGGCTTCACACATTGTACCCATGTCGGGAATCGAACCCGGGTCTTCGGCGTGACGAGCGAACGCTTTAACCACTAGGCTACCCGACCACCCTTATATTGGATGAATGGTGTTCGACTTAACCCAGTGTTACCGTAACTTTAAAGGGATGTTTGAAGTCAAACAATGTATGAGATGCTCCCAGTTTGTTTAAATGCTTTGAAAAATGCTTGAGAAGATGCGTGCATTTTGTGGAGAATCATATGGTCTTAATAGCGAGATGGTGCTACATGGGATCTCTTTTCAGCCTATATAGTGAAACCCTACTAGTCCGGGGCCCCTGTTAGTCTGGAAACCCCGCAATCAGGACGCGAACCTGGCCTCTATACACGATATAAGAAGTATCGCTTTGTGACATGATACCTAAACAGGACAATTTATCTTCCACCTGTACCGCTTGGATTAACGGGGTTTGACTGTAATATAGTCACGATAGGGCTGACATATTGCCGATGTGACTTAAAATTTTAACTCACTTGACTGTAATATATGAAGACCCTTTCCATATTCATAAGAAATATCTGTTAAAAGCAGAGTCGATAAACACGTTAAGTTATTATGACTGGTTGTATCCATAATACAACATCCAATCACATTTAAGAACGCGGTTTTAGAAAAAAATGCACTATTCAGGCAAATGGTATACTGCCCGAGCGATGGATATATTTCACAGCATAGGTATACTTGTTCGGAGGCCTAAGCCTTCTTTACAATTACCTGTAACGAATAAGCATGCTATTCAGATAGAAATATCACACATATTCATTCCACATAAGACATCGATAAAACCATTTTAGTTACTTACTCCAACCTATACTAAAACTAACTGATCTCAGTATTTGTCAGAAGGATTTGGTTCCAATATGGAGGGAATTCCGTGGTGAATGTAATACAACGCATGGCTCTGATCGATTCCGATGAGGTATTCGGTGAATTGCCTCCAGTGAAAACCATGGTATTATCGTTATTATTTATGGTTTGCATTTCTCTTGGTATTGATCTTCAATAGCGCTGTGAGCGTGCGACGATGTGAGAATATGTGTACTGCCAAATGTCGGATGATTGTAATTCAGTAACAGTGATTCGAGAGAACATGATTCGAAAACGTGCGACATCAACAATAGTTTGGATTGATCGGAAGGCTTGTTGTTTCCAGCTAATCTAGTTTCTTCTTGCTGATATATCTATATAATATCTGTAACAGCTGACCTACTCATCTGAATGAGTGAGTATGGTTTTACGCCGCTTTTAGCAATATTCAAGCAATATCACGGCGGGGGACACCAGAAATGGGCTCCACACATTGTACCCATGTCAGGAATCGAACCCGGGTCTTCGGCGTGACGAGCGAACGCTTTAACCACTAGGCTACCCGACTGCCCCCACTCATCTGAAACCATGAACATGATAAGATAAGATTACATAGTAATCATCAAGTTCCTGAGCAGGTATGATTGGTGTTTATTGTGACGGAGACCCCAATTATTCAACAATTGCAAAATGATCTTCTGAATTCAAGAAAGGACGAGAAAGTCTTAAAGTGATCTAAGGTCTTGAATTCATCACCGATGAAATGATTGCTAGGGTAGAGGTCTTCATTATGCAGGATCATTGTATCAAGATGAAATGAACAAAACGTGTCCAATCTCCCAACAATACTTCACGAGCATGTGGGTGTGTGTAAGGTGTCTGCCAGATGGGAACCTCGACCACAGTGTGCAAGATCCACAGATGGAGTCAACTCGCGTGCTCCTTGAACTGTATAAAGAAGAACCAGCCAGGACCCGCCATTTGCACGGCTGATGAGGCATAGATTCAACACCAGGAACCCTGAGACCCATCAGTAAGTACCATACATCCCACTGCCAAAGAAGTTCCACACTCGGCCATCAGCAGGCAAGGTTTGGGCAACTGTTTGTTGGGGGATGGAAAAGACGTGTGTAGTGTTGACTACCTGCCTCCAACAACAATCGTAGGTGTCTATCTTGCTCATTTGAAGACAAAAATTGAGGCAAGCAACCAAAGTTAGAGGGAGAGGACTGTTGACAGCTGGAGTATTTCTGTTCCGTGACAATGCACCAGTGAACAAGTCGAGGGTTGGTCAAGCTGGCATCGCAATTGTGGCTTCGAACAACTCAACCACTCACCCTACAGCCCATACTTGGCCCCTAATGATTAATCTGGTCCGGAATCTGAGAGCCTGCCATCGTGGTACCCGGTTTGAAGATGCTGAAAGTCTGAAGGCCTCAACTGAAGGGTGATTGATGGAATTCTGGCATAAATAGCTTGCAGGATAAATGGGCCAAAACCATTGCGGTTAAGGGGGATTATATTGAAAGTGTTGTTGAAACTATTCGTTTGACGTCGTTTTAAATGCTTTGTTCTGCGAACGTTTTGACTGAACGTGACAGAATACAAAGGCTCGTTTCGTTTAGTCGTGCCTCTTCCGTGTCATCCCACATTCACTCATTACTCTGCTACATCTGTTTCGACTTAGATCAGAAAATAATTAAGTGTTAATCAAATAAAGAGTTGTATATTCCCTGTAAGATCGGAATAACGGATTCGACCGATCCTGTTGAAGAATACATGAATTCGTTGGAACAAGATATGCTCAGCTGTTAGTGTATTATCATGTACTGTTATATTGAGTGAGCTGGGTTTAACGCCGCTTTTAACAGTATTCCAGTTATATCGAGCTTAATGTGGGAGGAAAACCCGAAGTGATGCAGGTCTCGGACGTTTACCACTTCGGTGAAACCCACGAGCACGGGTATGGTGCTGTCAAACCTAGAAACATAATCGGGGCGAAACGGGTTTCGAACCCACAATCATAGGTTTCTGGCGTGCCCAGGGGACGCAACTCTGCACAGCGAATCGCGGCGCCTCAGACGACTGGGCCACCCGTGCCCCCTGTACTGTTATAAAATATGTTACCTTTAAGTAAGTAAAGTAAAAAAATTAGTAATATCATTCTGCCTTTTCAGCATAATGAAGACATGATTGTCAAATTGTACCACTTGCTAGATAAAGATGCTACTTTACTGGTACCTGTACCAAAACCTCCGATTAAAATAATTCAAGAACTCCAAATCCATAAGCCTTGTCTTCCTTGATTCTACAACTTCTAAATTTCACTAAATGTAAACAGTTGCATTTTACCTGTATAAGTAACTGCATTATCAGAAAACATATATGATATCTTCTGTGGTTATAGAAAAAATAACTCAATTTAGAGCCTGACAAGACGTTGATATACATTTCTTTCTGAACATTTATGGGGGCACGGGTGGCCCAGTCGTCTGAGGCGCCGCGATTCGCTGTGCAGAGTTGCGTCATTTTGGCACGCCAGAAACCTATGATTGTGGGTTTGAAACCCGGTTCGCCCCGAATATGTTTCTAGATTTGTCAGTACCATACCCGTGCTCGTGGGTTTCACCGAAGTGGTAAACGTCTGAGACCTGCATCACTTCGGGCTTTCCTCCCACATTAAGCTGACACGCCGTGATATAACTTGAATACTGTTAAAAGCGGCGTTAACCCAAACTCACACACTCACTTCTGAACATATATGGTTTACTACATCAAAACTGATTGATGGGACCGACGCCATTCTAGCATCATCATTATTAGCATGTACAGGCAAATGTCATATCAACGCTGATATTTCTGTAGTTTAATCAGCATGGCAACCAGGAGTTGTCTGAACAGAATAGGAGAAATATGAGTTTCAATTTCACAATGTATATTGCACATGTTCATATCAGTCTTAGCATGTTAAGTTGACAATACGTTACAGGAAGCCGGCTTGCCTTTCACGCATCATGAAACATCTAACGGTAAACATGTCGTTTTTCTTCAAAAGCCTACAGGTCGACAGAAATCTCATAAGCTAGACTTACACGACAATGGGTGCAAGAAAACACTCCAGACATCAAATAAATAAGTCTCAGTAATAACACGCGGAATGAAATCTTAGACATTGGACCGAAACAAGCTGAACAGCACAAGAAGAATATATTGCGCCGGGTTTCCTACACAATTAACGTAGTGACGGTTCAGTGCTTGCTTTCAAGGAGGGATTCCTACCGTTGTAGGCAATGTCCAAAACTTGGTCATTTTCCAGCGATAAAGGGACATGGCCGTTTTGGAGAGT